TAGTTAGAAGGGGGAGGGAAGAGAGGGGGGGGGAGAGGGGAGAGTAGAGTGGAGGGGGGGTGTGTAAGAAAAGGTGGGGGGGGGGGTCTAGTAGAGGATTAATGATATCTATAAAAATATTTAAGCTTATTTGAAAGTATTTTTCATATGGTTTTGAAAAGCTATGGCAAGACATTGGTCACGAGTTGACGTGAGTAGATTAATGTTTGTTTCCATAAAAAGTACATGTATATAGTTGAAAATAATACCAGGGACATGTACATTAGTGCACATCATTGACCAGGGAAAGCTGGGTCCTCAGCAACCAATGAAACAAATCTTACACAAGGCTACTCGTTTTGTTGGAGTGGAGAACCACAAGTAAGGGGCTTGGGAAATAAATAAGAAGATGGTTTTTCTATTCTTGCTTTCATGGACTTTAACTGAGGATTCAATGGATTAAAAAATCAGTAATTTAAAAACTTAAGACCAAGTTTTGTCTAATATCAAGTGTATCACTCAACATGGCTTCACTAATGTGACCTAGGCAAAAGATTTAAACTCTAAAAATGACTGTAATTGCAGTGGCCTGTGCAGTACTTCAATTAGCTGATGTAACAATCCTGAAACCTAAAGTCTGCACAAAGGCCATAGATGCAGGTTTATTGATGCTTGTATAATAAAAACTATTTTAGAACCAGTATATAGCTCTGTCACTGGACAATAATGACTTTCCGTTAAACAAATTTTATTAATTACAGATTGTAATTTCCAATCATTGTAAATTTATACCATTTATCCACTAATTAAATAGACTGTTGATTCTTGATGCATGTACATGTGATGAATCTCTCAATTGGTATTTAAAACAATACCAATCAATCACTTGGCTTGCACTTATGTTAGCTTCAAGTAAGGGTTTTATTATATTTTGTCTTTGAATCCTATTCAAAACAATATAAAAAAAACCAGTCAAATACGTGGCTTGCAATTGTTCCAATAGTTTATAGTAATTAAGTAAATTAAATTACACTTAGACTTGGTTATATTATTATTGATATTTGTGCCAGAGAATAAAACTTGACTGGCTTTTGTTATGCTATTTAAGTGTCTTTGTGATAATAAAAAAATGATTGTATTTAATAATTAATCTAATAATAATAATAATAAGAAGAAGAAGAAGAAGAAGAAGAAGAAGAAGAAGAAGAAGAAGAACTGTATTTATCTTTGGAATTGTACCTTGTTCTTCTACATCTTGAACTTTCATCAGTTGATAATGATCTTTTGTGGCATTTAATTAGCCCCTGCCCTCTGCATCCCATTGCAATTTCTTTTGTGTGCTATTCCGTTATATCTTCATCATACATCATGGATTTCATGAAATTACTTTTTTAAAAGTACTGAAAACCTAGTAAAGAAATATTATTTTCACCTGATAGATAAGAGGAAGGGGCACAAACAAATTGTTTGCCTGGGTGTTTGTCAGCTATGAAAGATGCTGCACTGATTCTTTGTCCAGCGCAGATTGAAGTGTGTTCTCCTTATTTTTATCCTCCTTTCTTTCCATTGCAGAAGGAAAATAGTTACTTAGTCTTGAATATCATTATAATATCTGTTCTCCCCTGACCCACTGCCTAAGGAAGACCTGTTACGTGGGTTTTAGAGACAGCTCTGTTCTAATAGACTGTTGAGGTTGATAACAGAAATTCAATACACTGTAGGCACTTCCAGAGAGTGCAAAATGTTATTTGAAAAAAAGCTTAGTTTAAAAGTGTGATGTACTGTGTGGACTTTGGCATGGCTCATTCAAGTGCAAAAGAAATGACCAAATAACTAATTCCTATTGAAGTCATGTATTTGTTGGCATCTTGGTCAAAACCTGCTACCACCCCTCCTCCCCCACCCCCTCCCCACTTCCTCCTGGCCTCTTGAGTAATTTTAATTAAGTTAATGCCTAATTGTTCTCCTTGGCATAAGAGACTGAAATGTACTTGTTTTCAATTTTGTTCACTTTAAGTATGTTTTTCACTGCTTTTCGTTGTTTAGTTTTAGCTTCCTTTTACAGCAGTAAAAACCCAGACTGAATACAGTGCGCATTATTTCTAAACCAGACAACACATAGCCTGCATGTCAGGCATTTGAAAGGGAGATAGAAATTAGAGAGCAGAAACTAGAGAGTAGAAACAAGACACAGTTATTTGTTGTGTTCCTTTTACTGTTCATTGAGACAAAGCTCATGTGCTGAGGCTCCTCTCTTGCTGTATCACGGGGTTGCATTACATGTCAGTTTATTTAGCCAAGGCTCAACAAGGACTGAAAGTTCTTATTAGCTTGTACGTGTATCTTTGCTTCTGTCTTCCCCCCCTTTTTTTGGGGGGGGGGGGGGGGAATTAAAGTGGACTACGAATGTAATTTTAAAATCTTCCTTTAAACCATTGAACTTGTTGATTAGACTTAATATTGATGCAAAGTATCATCTCTAGATACAGCATGCGATTTCAACTGTAACTTAGCTGTAGTTCTTGTACTTTTGAGTTTAGGACGGTTACTCCGCGTACTGTATAATAATTCCTGTACACTGCTTGTTTTACCAAGGTGATATAAAATGATCCTACAGTTATGTAGACCTTAGCCCGAGTGAGTAATGTTCTTAATACATGTATGCTCATCATTTTTTTCTTCCACATTCTTAGAGAAATGCTGTGATAAAAATGAGTGTATAGTACAAGGCTAATTCATGTGTTATACTTTTTCGTTTTATGTCTACAGTGCAATTTAGCCGAAAACTGACATGTCAGAAGCTTCAAAGAAGGCGTGTAGCTGTAATTTAAAGGACAGCGATGCTGGCCCACCACAGCTGGCTGTTGGTCTTCCATCCAGAAAAGATGTTACAACAACATCGAAACAGCCTGATCTACCCGTTGATGTTCTACTGTTAACCGTTAAGGACTGTGAGTTCTTATCCTGTTACAATGAGCTAAAAGATCCCTACAGATATTATTACAAGGATGTTGGTTACGTTTACTTCAACAACGTTCAAAGTCATGAAGAGAAAGTAAAAGTTGCTCTGCTAAGATGCAGTGAAGGTGCCATTGGCCCAAGCAGCTCTCTGATTGCGGTCAAGAATGCCGCCCCTATTTTACAACCCAAGGCCGTGATATCTGTTGGGGTATGCAGTGGTCTCAATCCTGACAAAACCAAGTTAGGGGACGTTGTTGTATCAGCCAAACTAACAACATATGGATCCAAAGTGGTGACAAGCGAGCAAGACCAGTGGGCTGGCATGAGTAGTCACGTTAGCAAGCTTTTCTCAAAAATAATCTTGAACTGCGCTGATGGATGGCAGGCACCTTTAAAGAACCCAGAAGATCGTCAGGTCAAAGTTCACTGCAATGGCGAGTTCTTAAGTGGCCCAGAGGAGATCAGAGCTCAATGGCGCCGAAAGGAACTTGTCGACCGCCATCCCCTTGCGGCGGGAGTAGAGATGGAGGGAGAAGGTGAGTGCATGTCACGTTCTTATACAGCTATTTCAATTAACGTTGTCGTATAAAGGCTTCAGGCCTACGTCACCAGGACTCAAGGTTATGTGGGTAGCTGTAGATCCTTCAGTTGTAATTCGGTCATAAAGGTGCGGCTAACAGTACCATAGAATGCTTTTAAACGTCATAAACGTTTACCTTCATGGCTGGGATTGGTAGATATTTATGAAATACACTGTAGTCCAGTTTCGAGTTCGCTATGACCGCTAAATAAAAGAAGGGAAGACGCATTTTTTACAGAGTTAGCCTCCACCAAAAGTAAATATATTCACAATTTCCAACGAGAAGAAGACCTGGCGAAATTTGTGAATATTTTTAATACTTTATGTCAAGGCTAACGCTGTATGAATGTGTCGTTAATGTCGTCGAAAAAGGACTATTAGCCGTATTGCTTTGCAATGTCAGCAGGTAGGCTTTTGACATCTGTTTTGGGAAACATGTGTCTCTAAAAGTTTTTGAAAGAGTAAAGCAGGTGCCACTTTGTTTTTTAGAACGATGGGAGGACGCGCTCGAACGACGGGAGAAAAGGAGAGGAATCCGGACTCCTCTCCCCTTCGCGTGTTTTTCTCGCGTGCTCTGAAAAAACGGACCAAAAGAACTATCTGGAGCCTGCCACGCAGGCTATTGAAGGAGCGACGAAAATATTTATTTTGAATACCTACATGACAATTACTTTAAGTATTAGTGGTCCGATGTACGGTGGAACCCCGCCTTCGGCCACCTCGATAATAGATAGATAGATATTCTGTTTATTTCACCCACTTGCAGCAATAACTGAATTGTTGGGGAAGGTCATTGTCACATACAATTAACCATTTACATACATTCACTGAAATTTATAAGTTACAAAGTCATTAATTCTTCTGGTATGACCATGTTGACATTTTGGAAGTTGGACCCTCATACCGTAGTGAGACTCAAAAGCGGCAGGACAGGGGATGATGTTCTTAAGGGGGGGACATTTGGCGTGCAGTAGCCATAAACCGCTTACAAGCTCCTTCTCTCCTGTCACTAAGAGACTCCAGGCCGGCCAAGACCAAGGCTTCCGCATAGTCTACCCGGCCAAATAATGTAGAATCCAGTACATAAGTAGCCAACAACCAAGATAATGATGTTAGGTAACATTGCGAGATAAACTAAAGGTCCAGTAAGAACCATAGAGTTAACAACACACTAATTTAGACAGAGCACGAACTAACACAACTGGCAGCCATTGGCGCCGCTGACCAATACCGTCACCTCGTTATTACGGCCACTTTTTTTCGGCCCCGCCAAAAGACCGCACCATACTTTTTCTTATTTGAAAAAAAAATGTTGATACGGCCAACGGCCACATTTTAAAATCCCAAACAGTAGAATCTTTTATAATTTTACCTCGTTAATACGGCTACTCGTTCGAAATTTAGAAAATTAAAATGCGTGAGCCTGATCTTGTATCGGTTTTTGAAATACAGTACACCTAAAATGCATTTGTACTATTTGTGGTGGTTAAATAGCCGATTTTTATAATGTAGACACGAGTGTTTTACTGGAAAATAAACCACTCGTAGAATTCATAAAAACTACATCCGGGACCCGAGTGGTTTATTTTCCATAATCTCACACGTGAGTTTATCGATGACGTAATTTTGGTAATTTCCCTCTATTATTTTATCGATGTCATTTTGTCTATATAATAAAAAGTGCGCTCGTTTGTACAATATTGTTTTACCACTCGAAAATAAAATTCATATCTTCGCGCCACCGTGTAATATCCTCTATTTAAAAGTGTTTTATGCGCTGAAGGAAAGTTTAGCCCTTCGATGACCGCGTTGGTCGTTTTCGTTCCGGGAACGATGCATATCTTTCTTCCTGGATCCATTAAGGTTTCAGTGTAAGTTAATAAATTGGTGAGCGACAACGTAAGCAAAGATAGATCTTTCCAGCGATATCTCGTTTTGGATATTCTGACCAATGCTAACAGAGTTACACTCACAAAAAAAGGTAACATTTTGGGGGAAAATCCACTGCCAATTTGGCTGTTTACCTACTACTCTTTGAAAATTATATTTGTTCCTTTCCTAAAAAGTTGCCCAGCCACAATTCCATTCCATTCCATTCCATTCCATTTTCACGCAACAATTGTAGAATAAAATTAAACAAGAGGTATACACGTTATCGCTAAAATAAATGGGAACATTTGTCTGTGTTGTTTTTAAGTCTGATCTGGGATCGTCTGATTACGTACGACGCAAACAGCTTTCGATCAAGATTCAGAACTTTGCAGCTGCAAACTTAACAGAACGTCAACGGAATTAGCCTCCCACGCGGGCGTTTTTAGGGGAGCTCGTATTTCGTCCCTCCCCACAAACGCCTGCTCAACCGGGGACAACATTCCTTTCCCACGCGTAGTCTATCACGTTGTACTTTCCAAATTCTGGAAAGTTGACCTTGACCGCAGCGTAACCCGATAATTACGCGATCTGCATGAGACTTTGAGAAACCTGCATGACCTCTAATAAATATTAGACTCAGAGCGGCAAAAGTAAGATTTACTCAGTCAGATTTTAGAATTCGCGGTGCACTGCATAACCTTAGCGAAGGAAAAAAAAAGCAGGAAAAAGGTAACTCTGGGGTCATGTTCTGGGTAACGTTTTTACAGTATCACGGGCTTATAAGTCTTGTTTAGCCTGTCAACACTGTTGATTGGTCACTTGCCACGCGAATATGACAATGGGAAAGGAATGTCCTCCGTTGAGCAGGCGTTTCTGGGGAGAGAAGAAATACAAGCTCCCCTAAAAACGCCTGCGTGGGAGGCTACAACGGAATGTGTCCTGAACTTTATCGCTCATAATTAAGAATAAAGTAATTGAATAAAACAAGTTCATTGTAAGAAAGATAGCAGTCAGCAATTCAAAAGAAATGTCGTGAAAATCATAATCTGTCGTACTTGGCTGTCGTTGGGGTCTGGCATCTCTTGATTCGGCGTTTTCCTGTGTCTGGTCAGTTTACTTCCAGTTTGTAATCAGAGAGACATTTTTGTGAAAGTTTAACCGTCAAAAATTATTGGAAAGTAAAGATTTACACATGCAACTATGCGTCTATGTGCTAGGCAAGCTAGGCAATTATTCTTTTAGTTTCTTTAATCCGTAAGACTTGATTTCCTAAAAAGGATATACTTCCTAATTGTATTCCATATTTCAGGTGTTTTCACAGCCGCATTTGATTCTCAATCCGAGTGGCTCATTGTTAAAGGGATAGCTGATTTTGCGGATGGTGAGCAAGCGACTACAGAAAGATGGGAAACCTGTGCCAGTGTGATGGCAGCATCTCTTGTCTCACACATTTTAGGTGATCCCGGTGTTTTCCGCACTTGGCCTCATTACTCAGGTATATTATAAATTCTTGTCAGTTTGGTGTGTGATGATTAGGCGCAGAAGTAACAGGCCGAACTTGGCGTCAGTAAAAACAATGTCTTGAATGTTTATTGAGTGAGGCAGTGTGGAAGATCAGATCCGAGATCAAAAGACTGGTCAGTATTTTCCTCCGTTTTGATATTCCATCTTCATTGCCAAGTGGCGTGAAATTAAGAGTTAGAAAGAAGCACTTGTGAGGATTGGCGTCGTGACCCCAATTTTTATACGCTCAACGTTAAGTCTAGCACTAGTGAGTTAGACAAACCTTAGGAAAATGTGCGTCGTTTCTGGTCAAAAATTCAGATTATACATTCCTTCCTTAGCTATAAATTGCGTATCGACTAAGAGCAAGACCCAAAACACTCAAGTTGACCTTGCCTGGATCTTTCAGTGGATGGTCTCTTGGAGGCTCAGCTCGATAAGCCAGCCTGGCTCTCGACTGAGCTGATTTTAAGCCAGTTCATTCTTTTGTACCGAATCACAGTCTATTAAAACAAGAAAATGTGCTAGTAACATCCAAATCAACCTTTAATATGCTGTTCAGTTGTCGGTCTACAGTCAGTTTTAGGCAAGTCTCGAGGAGACTGCAAATCAATATTGGCAATTCCATATAGAAATTAACCAAACCTAGAAGAAGTTAAACGTTTGTGACGTTTTATACCATTCCGTGGCACTTTAGTGTCAACCCCGAACTTTTGACCGAATCACAAAGAATTTACAGCTACCCACATGACCTTGCGGTCTTGTCGAGTACGCATGAGACCTTTAAGTACGACAACGTTAACCGAAATAGATGTTGTGGTTCAATTTTATCCTTGGTTCAAATTTTCTTTTCTTTTGTTTCAAACTCATTATCATGTCATTATCGTACATTTCCATACCCAAAAACAAAAGAAAAGAAAATTTGAACCAAGGATAAAATTGAACTACAACATAGATATACACGATGTTTCCAGCGTCTCAACCAACGATTTTTCTTCACCAGGAGCTTTGTGCGACGACCAGAGCTCAACACAAACCAAAAGGGGAGTCATGTATACTGTCAGTACATCTCAGCAAACTGAATCCACAATCCAGCAGCATCTTGCAGGTATTTTTCGTTAACAACGCATGTTGAAATTGTGACATTTCATAAGTCTACAGTCAGTTTATGGTTAGCATCTTATTAGTACTGCTTCAGACTGTTCCAGGCTCCAAGATAGTCGGGTCTGCGAAATTGAGAGCGCGAACACGCCCCCTTTTCGCAGATGACACGTTCAAGTGCCTTTCACTTAGGCGCCATCCCTACTCTCTGAGAGTCTGGAACAGGCTAGTACAGTTTTTGACGAGACTAACAGCAACACCCCTAAATTGCTCAAAATGGTGCGGTATGGTAAAGTTTTCTATTTTAATAAGGCTTCATTGTATTCAGGGAAAACTATAGACACCAAACAGCTTAGCTTGATCTCCCGATTTTTTTTCTGAGGGAGTGGGGACGTCTGTACACAGGTTACAACGGCTTTATTTTTGCGTTTGTTACTCAACAAACAGAGAGTGAAAACGGAGTAATACTGGATAGAGTGACTAATTTGCGTGTGGGGCTCGCGTGCGACACACGCCAAAAGTGCTCGTCGTCCACGGTGCTCTGTGTCTAAGTAGCAGCGTTTAATTTTCTGAAAGAAAAAGAAACTGTTTGGTAGTCTAGGAAAAAAATGAGCCGATCACAAGCCATTTCAACATAAAAAAAAGACCCTCCCACGTACTTTAACTATTTTAATTGCGACCATTTGAAAAAATCCGTCAACACCACTGGAAAGAACACACTAAAATAACTAAAGTTGCTAAGTTAAAGTGGTGTGATTTGTTGAAAACTAACCAATAAATATAGCTCCAGAAAGTCGCGAAGTTTTACATACGTTTCTATGGAAGAGAGCAAGTTTATTTCCTCCATACAAAAGTCTGTAAAACTTCGGGACTTTGACGAAGAATATCTTCTGTCGCTCAGCCTACCGTGTGGCACGAAATCTTTGCAGGTTCTAATTTTTACAATTTTTTCAGCGATCCGCAAAAATAAGTTCCCGCAAATAAAAATTACCGCAAACATTTTCTTGCAAAAATTTACTCCAGAGTAAATATTCTCTAACTTTAATTCGCTAGACAAACAAAACAGTACTAAGAAATCGTGTCTGTTCAATCACAACTTGTCTCTTTCATTCAGAAACAAAACGGTATACAATGAAATACTGGTTTATTTGTGTGAAAATATCTATGTCTGTTGCACGTTCTCACTAAAAACGAAAGTTCAGGAAATATTATCAATGCTGGGTACTGGGTACTTTCAGAAAACCGCAAAAATTAATTCCCAGCAAGAAAAACCACTCTGTAAGAGGCTCTACACTTCTTCTCGTACAAACCCAAATGATCCTCGTTTTGACGTGTTTTTCGACAGTTCAACCCTTCCACAGCTGTCTCCACATCAAGCTGACAGCTGCGACGGTCTTTTGACAAAAGAAGAATGTTATGCCTGACTTAAAAGTTTTTCCAAAGGCAAGTCTCCCGGTACGGATGGCTTAACTGCGGAATTTTTTCTTTCCTTTTGGAAGTTATTAGGGCAAGAATTAGTTGACAGCTTTAATTATGCTTTTGAGAAGGGTGAAATGCCTATTTTTTAAAAGAGAGGTCTCATCACTCTAATTCCAAAGGAAGACAAAGACAGGACTCTTTTGGATCATTGGAGGCCTATCTCGCTTCTGAACACAGACTATAAAGTTACCACTAAGTCAATCGCAGCAAGAATTGCGAAAATGCAGCTACCCAGCCTTATACATGAGGGTAGACGGGATATATCAAAGACCGTTTTATTGGTCAAAACATACCGTTAATAGCAGACATTATAAAGTGCACAAAAACGCTAGAAAATCCAGGTATAGCGTTGTTCTTGGATTTCAAAAAAGCCTTTGACAGTTTAGAGTGGAACTTTATTAAAAAGGCTTTTATAGAGACGTTTAATTTCGGCGCTTCTTTAATACAGTGGGTCAATACTGTTTGAAGCAATATTCAAAGCTGCGTTATAGATATTGGTTATGCAACGCCGTTTCTCGAATTAGAGCGCGGTATAAGGCAAGGTTGCCCTCTTTCTGGCGAACTCTTTGTACTCGCTGTTTAAATTTTAGCAAATTCAATAAGAAACGACAAATTGATAACGGGTATAAATTTCAAAGGCAGGGAGTATAAGTTATCTCAATACGCGGATGACACCTCATGCTTGTTGCGCGACGGAAAGTCAGTTGAAAACCATTTCGAGAAGTTAGAGGCTTTTAGAGGGCTTTGCGGATTAGAGCTGAATAGATAAAAAACGGAGGCATTGTGGTTGGAAAAAACTAGACCACAATCGACAAACCTTTTCAACATAAACTGGCCCACGAAGTGCGTTTGTCTAGGCGTTTCTTTCTCATGTGATTCGGAAGCTTCAACAAAAGATGGTTAAAAAAAAGTTTGTCGTCCTGGAAAAGTGTCTTAACGTCTAGTCCTCTGGAGATTTAACACTCTTTGGAAAAATAGCCATTATCAAAAGTTTAGCTCTTTCAAAAATAATTTTCATTTCCTCTGTTCTCAGCGTTCCCTCTGGTTTTGTCGATCAAGTGAACAAATCTCTTTCCAACTTTGTATGGAACCACAAACCACCCAAAATCAAGCGCTCAACAATGATTGGAAAGATAAATGACGTCGGACTCAGCATGCCTGATTCCGATATAATAGATAAATCTTTGAAGGCAGGGTGGGTGGAAGACAATACCGTTTAGCCTTTTAGACAGTGTGGGTGGCCTGTTGTTGTTTAAATGTAATTGTTCGTTAAGAACGTTACCCGAGCTCCCTCTACTGCCACTTTTTTACCGAGTTGTTTTCAGTGCTTGGGAGAGCATATCCAAGCACACAGCAAGGACAAAGAACGAAATCGAAAATGAGATCTTGTGGAATAATCATGAAGTCACTATCGGCAACAAATCTTTTTTTTGGTACGATGCTGGCGTAACGACCTTGCCAGACATCCTAGACAAGAAAGGAAAGTTCTTGACGTTTACAACATTCATTGAGAAGTACAAAATTAACACAAACTTTCTGTGCTGTATTGGCTTGTGTAAAAAAATACCAAGGCATTGGAGGGAAGTCTTTAGACGTGATAAGGAAAATGACGTGGTAGTTTCGGATGAGTCAGTTCAGCTATTTAAGAACTCACCTCCCACTTGCCGGCAAGCACGCGCGTTTTATGTATCTAAAACTTTCCAAAAACCTACATCGGAAGTTCGTCTTGTTGAGGCTGGCTTCACAGATCAGACATTTGCGGTGTTATACGTTCTTCCATTCAAGCTGACAAAAAACATAAAGCTTTCTATGTTTCAGTTTAAAATAAACCATCACATCCTATACACTCGCGACAAACTTTTCAAGGCCAACATTACTGACCGTGATTCCCGTCATATGTGTAAATTGAAGCAGACCGTAGAGCATCTGTTTGTCGAATGCCAGCATGTCCACTTCTTCTGGAACCTTTTTACCTCATGGTGGAACGGTAATAACTCGCCCTAAGTGTCCTTGACCAGTAACGATAAGATTTACGAATATATCGCTGAGAATCGATCCTTCTATACGTTTAATCTTTGCTTGATAGTCGCTCGTTTTTATATCTACACTGCAGCCAAAGAAAGCGAACCATATAGTTCCTTAGCCTTTAAAGCTTTTCTGAAATATTTAAATTATTTATAGAGCCTTCAAGTGTCCGTGAATCCTTGAGCCTTTAGCCGCAAACAAGCTTGACTTGTTCAGTTATTTCCATGTGTTATTTGGTTATTTTTTTTAATTTATCTATTTAACTATTCATTTTTTGTAATTAATAATCGCAACATCCTGTAAAAAAAAAAACAATAACAAAAAGGAAGGAATAACCACGCTGTCCAAAATCGCAAAAATTAGTTCCCGCAAAACGCAAAAAATCGGCAATCCGCAAAACTAAACTCCCGCAAAATTTCGTGCCAAACGGTATGTTGGGTTATGAAAGTATTTCTTCACATAATTCATACTTCTTCTCAGGATTAAGAATCATTAGAGGTATCCCAAAAAGGTCTTTAACTCGTTCGTTGTGCAACATTACAAAAGCATAAAAGCGTATCGTAGGCGATATACAGAGCGTGGACAGCTCGTACACTGTGTGACAGTGTTATAAAACCAAATCGATCTTATTTTTAGTATCTTGTATTTCCCAGGGGTGCCAAGTATCATAGAAAGGATTCGTCAGCTTTACAAACGTCGTGAAGGACGGCTGGTACCATTTCCATGGTGTGATGACCTTAATTTCAACCTGAATGAGATTTTCACCCGACTGAAGATCGTTAACAAAGAAAAAACCCGAGGAACATTGACCGATGATGAAATCACCAACATGACTGCTATCTTTAGACCCCAACCTGATTGCCCGAAACCACGGATTCTTTTGATCGAAGGAGAACCTGGCATGGGAAAGACCACCTACTCACAAAAACTGGCGTATGACTGGGCAAATAAACAAGATGAATGGGACACGTCTTTTCCATCAATTGAAGTGCTGGTCTTGCTTAGATGCAACGATGTTAAATCTGGCATCTGGGAAGCTATTGACGATCAACTTCTTCCTGATGATATTGACGAAGAGGCTAAGGAGAATTTTTTCAAATACATCCGAGAAAATCAGGCCAAATGTTTGCTACTGCTTGATGGATTAGATGAGGCAGATCCCTTTCAACTGGATATGTACTACTCGCTCGTTGAGAGTAAACTCCTCCCAGCTTGTCACATTGCCATTACATCTCGCCATGAGGTTGGAAAGAAAGTAAGGCGGTACTGTGACACCCTTTGGGAGATTGTAGGATTTACTAACGAGGATGCGGAAAGTTTTATTAGAAAGTATTTTAAAGGCAAGGAACATTTGGCTGAGAAGCTGATTAAACGATTGAAACTTCTAGAGTATGATGATGATGATGATGATGCTGATGATCCACTTGCAACGCTAGGCGAGTTAACAAAAAATCCACTCAATACAGCTTTACTCTGCTGTCTTTTCGAGGATTTCGAAGATGTTCTTCCAACAAGCAGGACTGAGTTGTACCTTGAAATAGTTACCTTTGTTTTAAGAAGATACGAAGTAAAAAACGGACTTGAAAGCAGCAATGAAGACTTGATTTTAGGTTATAGGAAAGAACTTTTGCTTTTGGGCAGCTTCGCGTTAGAATCACTCCTTAAAGGAGAGTCGTACTTTGAGAAGAAGGAAGATACCGTCAAGCTTATCAATTTTGGATTCTTGTCTTTTCAACAAGGTGGCGCCAAGCGCAAACCTTGCACGCGCTGTACATTTTTACACAAAAGCTTTCAGGAATTTTTTGCAGGCTTATTCCTTGCGTTTCAGATTCTCAACAAAGAAAGAGACTTTACCTCCGTTGTAGATGATGAGAGATACTTGGATAAACTGAGACAGGTCTTTTTGTTCATGAGTGGCATCATAGCTTCACGGAGTGAGGAAACTGCAGTGTCGTTCGTTAGTGGTATCGCTAAAAAAATCAACCCTACCGGAGACCTTAAATATATGACTATAGCTTGTGAGTTTTTGTCGGAATTTTCAAATGTTAAGAAAAGCCTTGAAACTCGCTTAGTTTCTACTTTAAGTGAGAACCTTGACATGTCGTCCCTGACTGAAGTGAATTTTGAGGGCACGTGGATGTACGATGCTGGTGCTGCTGCGATTTCTCAGGCCCTCACAGCAAACTCCTCCCTGACTATTTTGAATTTAGCTCTTAACGGTATTGGCGACGCAGGTGCTTCTTATCTTTCTCAGGCCCTCAAAGAAAACTCCTCCCTGACTTGTTTGGATTTAGATTTTAACAGAATTGGCGACGCCGGTGCTGCCTCTCTTTCTCAGGCCCTCACAGCAAACTCCTCTCTGACTAGTTTGGATTTGAATCATAACAGAATTGGCGACGCTGGTGCTGCTTCTCTTTCTGAGGCCCTCACATCAAACTCCTCCCTGACTAGTTTGGATTTAGGTTTTAACAGAATTGGCGACGCCGGTGCTTCTTCTTTATCTGAGGCCCTCACAGCAAACTCTTCCCTCACTAGTTTGGATTTATCTTATAACAGGTTTGGCGAGGCCGGTGTTTCTTCTCTTTCTCAGGCCCTCAAAGTAAACTCCTCCCTGACTAGTTTGAATTTACATGATAACAGAATTGGCGACGCTGGTGCTTCTTCTCTTTCTCAGGCCCTCACAGCAAACTCCTCCCTGATTAGTTTGGATTTATTTTATAACACGTTTGGCGAGGCCGGTGTTTCTTCCCTTTCTCAGGCCCTCAAAGTAAACTCCTCCCTGACTAGTTTGACTTTAAATGATAACAGAATTGGCGACGCCGGTGCTTCTTCTCTTTCTCAAGCCCTCACAGTAAACTCCTCCCTGACTTTTTTGAAGTTAAGTTCTAACAGTATTAGCGTCGCCGGTGCTTCTTCTCTTTCTCAAGCCCTCACAGTAAACTCCTCCCTGACTATTTTGAATTTAAATCATAACAGAATTGGGGACGCCGGTGCTTCTTCTCTTTCTCAAGCCCTCACAGCAAACTCCTTCCTGACTCGTTTGTTTTTAACTAATAACAGTATTGGGGACGCCGGTGCTTCCGCTCTTTCTCAGGCCCTCACGGGAAACTCGTCCCTGACTAGTTTGGATTTAGGTGATAACAGAATTGGCGAGGCCGGTGCTTCTTCTCTTTCTCAAGCCCTCACAGTAAACTCCTCCCTGACTATTTTGAATTTAAATCATAACAGAATTGGCGACGCCGGTGCTTCTTCTCTTTCTCAAGCCCTCACAGCAAACTCCTTCCTGACTCGTTTGTTTTTAACTGATAACAGTATTGGGGACGCCGGTGCTTCCGCTCTTTCTCAGGCCCTCACGGGAAACTCCTCCCTGACTCGTTTGGATTTAGGTGATAACAGAATTGGCGACGCCGGTGCTTCTTCTCTTTCTCAAGCCCTCACAGCAAACTCCTCCCTGACTATTTTACGGTTTTCTTGGTAATAGTATTGGCGGCGGCGGCGCTTCTTCTCTTTCTCAAGCCCTCCCAGCAAACTCCTCCCTCAATAATCTCTCCTTTTGAGTGCCAGCAGTATAGGTGACGCTGGCGTTTGTCTTCTCAAGGCCCTCACAGCAAACTCCTTTGTTATATGATGTGTACTGTTTCGCCCGGTGACGATGGGGAACGTGTACTTTGAGATAAGGCTTTCAAATTAGCGAAATCCTTACAAACCTGCCCCGAGCAAAAGCGACTGTGTGATAAGCCGTACTTGTTAACCGGATAGTTTCGTGTCGTTTGAATATAGTCCCCTCGGTGCTACCTACTTGATTACATCTTAAAACGATACGAAACGGTTCGGTATAAATGTAATTTAGTAAGTTTTTCGATGAGTTCTAAACTATGTTACTGTTAGTTTCAGTAACGGTATAATCACGTTGTATAATAGCACTTCGAGTTGTTGTTTATCAGTAGCTCAATAAAAGCTACTGCTGTATGTTCAGACGTTTCCGTTCCACAAAGTTAAGCCCTGTGGGACGCGGTTGTTAGCTTTGGAGTGAACGATACGGAATCCCCTCTGACCTCTTTTCCAGTACTGATGTTTTGCGATTGTTTGGTTTCCTTTTTCTTAACTTTTAAAACTTCTATAAATTTCAAAATAACTGTCAAAAATTGTTTTCAATCGATACATCTATCAGAAATGCAAACAGCTTTTATTGATGGGCATTTTATTTTATCGAGGAGTCTGCGCAAGGGTCTTTGTTACCGCAGAAGCTCAGATTGGCTTCTGATTACCATAAACAATATACATTTTATTCACATAAATTCAACTTTAAAAAGGCAGGTGCTAAGATTAATTTATCATAAGAAAAAATAATAATTTGAGAATGTAAACCTCGTTACGCTGTGCACCGTTGCGCCGTTATAATAACAACCGATTTTTGATTTTTAATGTTTTTCTACTTCACTGTGATTCTTATTTGTGTATAAGGAAAACGTTTTTTAATGATATAATCTCGAAATATCCCATCTTTTATGCTCTGAATGAACAAGATAAAATATTATTCGTTTTTAATAACGTAGACTATTTTCTTTGTAAAAAATCGGTTATTTTGTTTTCGAATCTTTCAAGAAAAGGAAACGAGAGTCAGGATGTTCAACTAACATGAACAAGTAATACTAAGTAACAAGTAATACCATCTATGTAAATGGGAGTGCAAACAAGTTGCTGTTTATTAATTGATAAATAGGTAATATTTTAGTACAAATTCCTTGTTGTTATTATTTTTAGATTTGATTTCCATTTGCTATTTTCACTAGACTTAATTGTACCAAGGGGATCTTCCTAAGAGCTCAATAGAGCTTGCTACGATCGCCTGCCATCATGTTTCATTGTAATAGCAGATAACAAGTTATTAGAAGTTGTAAAAATGTCGTTTATAATGGACAAATAAATCGTTCTGGTATGGTATGAACGCTGACCACTACTTCTCATTTTTCAATTTGCCATTTCCCATTCCCCATTGCCTTTTTTTAGTAAGTTACCACTTAACCCCGAGGGCGAGGAAATTAGTGGAGTTTTGACACCCGCTTCAGGCCTTGGTTAAGTTAAATTGCTCGCTATAGTCCGGGGTTAGGGCCGGCGTCGAAAGGGGTGGGGGAGGAAGGGAAGAATGGAGGGGAACTGGGGTGAGAGGAAAAGAAACTCTCGCCTCTGACCTGATCGTTGAGGTGAACTGGGAGGAGGCTTCACCCCGAGACCTTTAATATACCCTTTAATATACCATTTTTGACAGAGAAGGTACCCATTTTATATACCTTCCACTGAAAACTGGTACCTCTTACACATACCCTCGAACAGAAGTCTTCTTACCATTGCGGGCGAGCAAAAGCGAGTTTGCAGACGGCGTATTCTTGGTGGGATGGTCAGCAGGAATTTATAAACTGTATAGCGAGGTTTTACTAAAATCTGTCCTCATTCTTGGGATGGCTTTGTTCTGCGTACTAATATGCATGGTATGTGACCACGAAGGTCCTGGTGTTCCATCTGATATTACTGCAATAGCGTGAATGCACATGCATGTGATACAACAATATTTGATCGAATCGAAAACACACGTATTTCAGATATACACGCACTGTTTCATGCACTGTACTAAATGCGAGACTTTTCCATTCGCCCTGCCTGCCGGAAATCTATTCACCAAGGAAGGAAATTAGAGCTTGATCTCAGCTTCATGTGAGACAAATCTTCAGTAAGATACTAGCTAGCGTTGGCAAAGTCTAGAAATCCATGTAAATTTTAAAGTTAATTCAGGTTAGTCTTCAGCGTGTGATTTTTATATTTTTATACGTTTCCAAGCATGTTCCGTCGCTTTCCATCTGGAAGCGTCAATAAGCTTAGCTTTAAACTAAGCGTTTTTGATAGTTTTCTATTTGATGTCAACGGCCTTTGGCGATTGAACACGGATTGAATACCCGATTAAATAATAAGACTTCGTGCAGTCATGACTGTCTTTACCTTTCAACGTTGTTATGTCACGCATTACTTTATTCTTGTATTTCCTGCTTTTTGAGCAAAATGCGCGGTAGGCATCTTATGATATCTGGCTGCCTGCAAAGGGCAAATTCCTTAGTTATAAACTAAGGGTTTTTAAAGGGTTAAAAACCATACCTGCTGTAACTTGCGTGGCCGACGCACCAGTCATATGGGGCGAGTCATATGGGAGGAGGGTGGACACACACAAAACGCGCGCGTCCTCTTACCTTGCGGACGGCTCTTACTTGGTTTCCAAAATCTTTCGGGCGCCTGCTACGCAAGCTTGCGCATATATAGCCATGCGGCAAATACCTCGAGAGATTATTTTAGGAAAGAAGAGAGTGGAAACAGAAAGGAGAGAGAGCAGGCTGAGGCTTTTCTGATGAGGTGCAAAGCAGTAGCAGTTGAAAGAGAGCCAGATGGGTGTGGAAACTCCGTGTGAAGGCCTTAAGTTCCATGTGGCACGAGGGATGACCACCCTCGCGAAGAAGAAACCATCCATTGTACTGAACTTTGATGGACAATTCGGCTCGCGCGGCAAAGGTCAAAATACCTCAGTCGATAAAAATATAGTGCGCCAAATATTATAACCAAACATATTTCTCAAAAAGCATTATAGTTTGAGCTAATCGGTATAATAGTATTATTCTTGATAAATGAGTCTGAAAGCGTAGTTGAAAATGAGCGGCTGAACCAGGGAGGCAAATTCTTGATAACGGTCGCATTGTGAAAATAGGTGATCCTTACCAAACGGAAATTAATATATAAATTATGCTTGTGATCTATTGTAATTAAATGCTTTTCATATAACTTCTTATCATTTGGTTTAAGGAAGCGGGACAGGCAAATCAACCGCAAAGAAAGCGGAAATTACAGGTCATTTCTTGTTTTTTTTTCATTTCTCAAAAGTTCTGTTGAAAAAGGCTTAACGTATATTATTTAGAAACCTTGTAAAATACATTCCTTACGGTTTAAGGATAAAATGTCACATTTGTTAGTCGGACATTTTTGTTCAATTTAGAATCGACAGATACCTTTACAGCTTCTCCTGTAGCTACATGCTTTGGGGCAAATATTTGAAAACTTAGAAGACTGCCTTGGTTAAGTGCGTTTTCTGATTTATGAAGGATGCACTTTGCTATTGACCTCGATTGCAAGCAACTCTAATTTGAATATCCCTTACTACCTATAAGGTAGAAATGCAAAAGATTTAGACTGTAAGTACCATCCGCGTGATACATTTTTTAATTCATAAACACACGATGCTTAACCGCCTTAGCGATTTCCTTTTTGAGTGCTTTATCCTCTAGTTCATTCGCTTAGCTGTCGCACAAGGTTAAAACTAGTTTACTTCTCACA